AGTCATTCTTGGCTATCTTATTTACAATAACGCCGAAGCCATTTATCAATTCACAAACCTAAAATAGGAGAAAATGATTTTATAAGAAGTTAATATAAATTCAAAATAATAAAAAGCGTTATGGTACCATCCATCAATTCTTTTCATTATTTCTTTCGCATTTAAGGGGGTAGTCTGGTGTTTCGATGCCTTTTTGGGAGCTTATTTCAGGATTTTTTTTTATTATAAAATAAAATATAATCACACCAAATCTTTTTACTTCGTTTTATTCTAATCATGAAGTGTTGAAAAAAATTATAATCGATTATTTTTTACTAGATTTTGTTATTTATATTTAATATTAATGTTTATAACAAAAAAATGCTGGCGCAGATGATTTACAAAAATCTATCCGACCGATTGCTCCAATTTTTTTACAGCTTATTCTACAAAACCATGGTTCTGGTCCGTACTAGAATAAAACATTTTTGTTAATAAATAACAAAATAGCGGACTATATAAGCAAAAAGATTCAAAAATTGTCTCTTTTTTATTGACAAAAAGTTAAAAATAAAAAAAAGTTATCATTAAAATTGCGTAATTCTAGTACGGGCCACAGCCATACTTGTGTAAAATAAGCTAAAAAAAATTGGAGCAATCGGTCGAACAGATTTTTGTAAATCACCTGCGCCAGCATTTTTTTGATATAAACATTAATATTAAATATAAATAACAATGTCTAGTAAAAAATAATCGATTATAATTTTTTTCAACACCTCAAAAGGAGAATAAAACGATGTAAAAAGATTTGGTGTGATTCTATTTTATTTTATAATAAAAATAAATTCTGAAATAAGCTCCTAAAAAAAGGCCTACACACCAGACTACCCTCTTAATAAATTTGCCATTTTCTTGTCCATAATCTATTGAAATTTAAAGAAATGAGTATTGAATTTATTATTTATGCCAATCCATACCTTCTATTATTATTTATTATTCCTTATCATTCTGAATTTTCTTGATTTCATCCTCATCAATGTTTTTGTCAGCTTGTTTTCTTTATTGAAGGGACTAGCTTGCGTTTCGAAGTTCGTTATTCCTGTTCACTTGATTTGGATGTGGTTTGCTGATTTTTTGATTTAACACTTTTTTATAAGAATCCAACTTTTTTTCAAAACTTTCTCATTTGCTAAATTATATTAATTAATATATAAACATCATTAATTAACATAAAAATCTAATTATTATAATACAGTTTATAGAAAACAGAAAACAATTTATTTGCCTTTTTATTGTAAGTAAAAAAAATATTTTTATAAAAGTTTTAATTCTGGAAAATAGTGATAAAAAAGTTGTTACTAGAAGCAGAAAGAATTTCTCCTAAGAAAATTTTTGGTCGCAATGCTTTGTCTGGATATACAAATTCAACAAAATCTCCCACTTTAATATGCTTTCGTTTAGTGTCAATTTGTGTAGATGCTTTTTCTACTAAACAAACCCAGTAATCACCTCCTTTATTCTGTCCTTCAATAATAAATTGTTCCTCTATTTCATAAACATAAGTATAAATCCTAAAGAAATAATTGTAAAAATATTTCAAAAAATAACCTACATTTTTGTTAAGTTATTTTCACAACTGATAATAAATTAGTTTCTATAGAAACATATTGACATTTGTAAACTATTCAATTTCAAGTTAAGCACACATTTGATGCCACATAAGTTCAAATGTTACATTAAATTCTATTGGCAAATTCTATTTTAAACTATTCCAGTTTCAAAAAATGAAAATAAAATGATCATTTTTCAAGTGAATTTTATACTTAGTTTCAAAAACTGTAAAGATTAATTAAAAGTAAATTAAATTTTCTTTTGAAATTATACACTACCGTCAGAAATTGTCGGTACGACTAACGCGCGAGGAGTTGAAATTCGGTGCTGACTTTAAAGCAAGATATTTTAAGTTAGAATAAAGTTAGAGATTTCTTACTTAGATGGTTGGAAAGCTGATAAAATTCTGCTTCTGAATGTATATCAAGAAAATTTTTTTCTTTTTTTTGTATTTATAACACTGAAAAGATGTCAAGAAGAAATTATGCAATTTTCGTACTATCGTACTAATGTTTTTGACTTCCGGCATAATCTAGAATAATGTATGGAAAAATTTGACAAGTTTATAACATAATCTTTAAGATCTCAGCTTTAATTTGCATTTTTTAAACTTAAAAAATGTTTTGTGGTTTCTGAAATATGTTAAAAAAGGTCCTATCATGTTTTTCTACAACCCAGCAGCGAGATGGCAAAAAGTGATGATCGACGGCTGGGTTGTAGAAAAACATGATAGGACCTTTTTTAACATATTTCAGAAACCACAAAACATTTTTTAAGTTTAAAAAATGCAAATTAAAGCTGAGATCTTAAAGATTACGTTGTAAAATTGTCAAATTTTTCCATACATTATTTTAGATTATTCCGGAAGTCCTTTTGTGAAAAATATTACTTGTGCAGTACTAAATAAAAATAATTATAACTTTACAGAATTTCAAAAAATGGATAATGATACTGTGGGTGAGGACAGCATTGATTTTGATAGAAATTCTAAAAGTGAAAATGAATTTAGTTTGGATAAGGTAATTTTTGTAATATAAACAAAACCGTTTCATTAGAATTTTAAAAAGAAATTATTTTCTTTTAATTTTTAAGCAAATAATACAAACACAAATAATAATAATAATAATTATTATAATTTCTATTAATAATAAAAGCTGAAAATTTTATTATTAGCTTACAAGTAGTAGAAGTTTTTCTCCAATGATCCTTTTGAGGTAGATGATTCGAGTGCAAAACAAAATAAAAATAATAACTCCATTCAAATTAACATGATTGACAATGATACCACTGATGATGAAAACATTAATTTCACTGGAAATTGCGAAAGTGAAAATGAGTTGATGAGGATGAGGTAAATTTTGTAACATAAACTAAAAAATTCCATTACATTTTTTATAAGAATTTTTTTTCATTAAACTTTGGACTTATCCGACTTCTGATTGAAATATTTAAGGACTTAAGTACCTTAAAAAATAATTATTAAAGCTTGTCAAATTTGTTATGCATTTCGAAACATTTATTACTTATAATAATTATTATTTTTTATATATTTATTTTTATTATATTGTGCATGGAGAATAAAACCTGGAAAATTTTGTTATTAGCATGCCAATAGTGAATGTGTTTTTAATGATCCTTTTATGGAAGACGTTTCGAGCATAGAGGAAAACAACGATTTTGATCCAAAACATGGAAGAGAAAATGATTTGAATTTTATTGAGGTAAATTTTTAATAATGATTTAAAAAGGTTCATTAAATTTTTTTAAAAAATGATTTTTATTAAATTACTGCAATAGAGTTTAAGAAAAATTGTGTGAAATTTTTAATAACTTTCACTTTAAAAATATGTTTTCAATGCGATGATTGCTTTTAATTAATATAGTTTTCTCTACGTATTTAACACAATACACCTAAAGCAAAGTAATTTAAAAAATAATTTTTTACAGAATTTCAGTAATGAATTTCATTTTAATAATTCTTTTGAGAAAGAAACTTCTATTCCGGAGGAAAATTTTGAAGATGTTGAATTAAATGAAAATAATAGTTGCACAAGAGAACTAGAATGTAATTTTGAAGAGGTACATATATTTTTAAAATATGTATGAAAAGAATTGCCATATAACTAATAAAACAAAAATTTTAATTATATTGTAATGTTCAAATCAATTATGCAGTAAAAATATTTATTATTTTACTTCAATTTTTAATTTATTAAATTAATCAATTTATTAAAGATTATTTTAAAATAATTTTCCATCTAGTGTATTAACTAAAAAATATTTTTGAATAACAGTGATAATAATTATTGCATAAATTTTCTTAAAAATTATTTTAACAAAAAAATTTATGAACTTGATATTACCAAAAAAAAAAAAATTAATTTAAAAATAAATTAACCAATCATTTTAACAATTAATAAAATAAATTTTTACTATTAGAGTTCCAATAATAAAATTAATGTTGATGATCCCATTTCCATGAATAATTTGGAGTTAGATGAAGACAATAACGTTAACAATGCTAATGAGGTTGATCCTGATGACGCTTTGCATATGGAAGACATTTACGCCGATGACTTATCTTCAGAAGATGAATTTTCTTTCGATGACCAAAATGAATCTGAACAAGCAATCTTGCTTGAACAGCCGTTATATATAAACTAGCAACTTTGTCGTCCGCAAGCGGCCGACTACGTTGCTAGTGTGCATTAACCATATTTTTTATTCATTTTTTTTCAAAAAAATTTAATATTAGAAATGTAAACAAAAATTTCTTTATATTGGATCTATCACCCAAGTAGCAAGGAATATTGCTCGAATGTCAAGCTCATATCAAGCGGGAATATTTTTGTGACATTCAGGCGATATCATAATGTCCTCTTCACGGGGACATTCCTCGGTGATGTATCTATATGATCTATGTGACGGTCTTTCACACAGATAATGTAACGCATTACAAAAGTTACATTCTACATTCATCAAACATAAATAATTTTGTGGAACTTTACTTTCATTAAAATCTTTAAAAGACATTATTGCAACTCCTGCACTTTTTTATTCCAATTATCGTTTTTACATGCCAAATTCTCTTCTTGACGCACTTTCTTTCATCTTCCGTTTCCGTAGAAAATTTTTTCTTCTTACATGACAAATTATTTTCTTGACGCACTTTCTTTTCATCTTGAGTTTCCATTGATATTTTTTTTTCCTACATGCCAAATTTTTATCCTTGCGTATTTGCTTTTCATCTTCAGTTTTTATAGATAATTTCTTTTTTTTTGCATGTCAAATTTTTTTCTGCGCTCTTTCTTTTTTATTTCTGTTTTATTACGATTACGTTTTCTCAGGGCGAAGTCCCCTGTCTGCGATGTGTATTGAGTTTCCGACAGCAGTGCGTTTTTTCGCGGGTGTTCCATCTCTGTTGCGCTTGACATGCCGTCCCTGCAGTTTGTCTTTGTTTTAAACGTGTGCACGTGATTATACCAAACAGAATTGAAAAAGTAATTAATTTAGTATAATATAAATAAATACAGCGTGTAATAATAATAGAGTTAAATAAAAAATATGTCCAACAAGAATATGCAGGTAAGAAAAGTGTTGTTGAGGTTATTACTTATTTTAATTTTAGGTTGACTATAACGTTTTTAATATACAAATATTCTATTATTCATGATTTTTAAATAAAAAAGATAATTACTTAAAATTATTTTAATGCTTCATCATCTTATGTTGCTTATTTTATCATTTTTTTACAAAATAATATCCATATAATGTTATACAGTATAATGAATTAAAATATAAACATAAGAAATAGTAAACAGAGAAAAATGGATAATAAGGATTTACGTTTACATATTAATTCGTATCGCATCGTTTAGAATGATTAACAGTTTATTTCAAATATTTTTTATACAGAAATGAATGTTGGAATTGTGGTTGGGAGATAATCGATTTGACGAATATTCAGGCGCACACATGCTTCGTCAACTTTAATGACCAAAAACATACTTTAATTAAAAGTAGAAACGGAGTCATCAGCATGAGTAAGTATATTTTTACGATTTATACTTAATAATTTCATGTACTCTGTATTTATAGTATATAGCGATGTATTACCGGTTTTCGGGTTAGCATTTTCGTATTTATTTCATTCATTTCGGTAATTTTTAGTGCGTTACTACTATGATAGTCAAACGCAAAACAACACATGTTATAGATGCATCTATTTTATAATTTTGAATTCACAATTTCAACATTGTAATATAGAAATCAAATCTCTTTAAATTAAAAATGTTTTAAAAATTATTCGGTAAATTTTTTAATTTAACTTAAAATTTCTTATTTTGATTCTTTTTAATCTATGAAATTCAAAAAACTTAAGTAGTTTTCAGTAGATTTTTGTTTCAAATACGAGAAAAAGAGATAAATATCAGAAAAATGTTTCCAATGCTTACTTGATTTAAAATTCTTTAAACCGTAATGCTAAAATGTAATATTTAACTTAGAAAACTATCAGTAGAAAGTGCATCAGTATAATAATTGAGGAGGTCAATCAAATAACTCGATTAGCGCTTGAAACATCGCCCTTATGGTATTTCGCCGCTTCAGAAAAGGAGAAAAATTCAAACTCAACATTTGAATTTTTGGAAAACGCTATCTTGTAGTAAATAAAAAAACGCAACTTTTTTCTTAAATACTTTTTTTCGTAGGACGAATATTATTTGCATTAAAAATTGAAAACAACAAAATTTTTCTTTTCAAATTTAATTAAATTTTATAACATAAATCGTCGTTTTGAAGAAAAATGTGAATGGATTAACTTGGAATTTGGTATACAAACTCAGTTGGGTCTACTGAAACGAAAAAAATCATAGAAAACTTAAAAATTATTTATTGTTTAATTATTTTTTATTGTAAGCAATGACGTGTCAGCAATATAACTCTTTTACATTCAATGACAAAAAGTATCTATGGAAGTTTTGAGTTGAGCAATCGCAAGGAAGTTGTTCTTCAGTATTCAAGGAAGTTTTCTGGAAAATTCCAAAACAATTTATTGAAAAATAAAAAAGTAATGCAATTTTCAAGGAATACGCGCCGCGCGTCGCTTTCGCTGCAAAAGCATCTATTTGGAAACATATATTAGTGTCATTTTTATGTTGTTAAATTATTGTCATTATTATTACTGTTATTGTTATTATTGTTATTAAATTATTATTAATTTTTATTTATTTCCAAAAAATTATTATTATTATTATGGTTAATAATTCTATAAGCTTTTTTCTCGTTTGTACATGAGTATTTACTTTAAAAATTTTTTTATTTCTACAACTTTTTTATAGTGCACAATTTTAGTAATATTATCTGATACTTATGTTTTTAAACACTTTATTTATAAGTTTTATTTATAATATTAGAAATAATGAAAATGACATTTCAAACAAGGTTTTTGTTAATAAAATAATAAAATGTAACAAGAATTATAAAAATAGTTCATAAAAATAATAAAATTTATTATTAAAATAATGAAATAAAAACTAAAAACATTAGTTAATTATAATAAAATCTGTAATACTCTTTATTGTTTATTTGTATTAAATTGTGAATTAGTGTGATTTGATACGCGACATTCTGTAAATTTATAAACAATCTAAACATGAGTTTCACCTGTGAATCGAAGTTTTGATAAAATTTGAAGTTAGTGTTGGTTTGAATTTGTTATCGTACATTTCTGTTGTGTAAATTTTGTGGTTTTAAATATTTGTGGAAATTTTTTATTGTATATTGTTCTTGTCACAAAAGATGTCAAGAAATCTTTTTAGAGGAAGAAAAAGGTCAAGAAATTACAATTTTTGGAAACAGAACAAAAGAAAAGTTGATAGAAATACAGTAAGTTTTCTGATTTTCCTTTACTGATTGTGTTTGAATGGAATATGAAAATTAATTAAATGGATAGTATTTACAAATAAAATAAGTATTAAAGAGTTTGTGCCACATAAATTTTTTTAACTGAAACAAATGTTTCTAAGAATTTTTGAACTAAAATTAAATTAAATTCTAAATTAAAATATTTTAGAAAGAATTGAGCAAAATTTAATTTAATGAGAAAATATTAATATAAATAAATGTTCAAAATGTAGATATTTTTTTATTATTTTATTTTATTTTATATTTTATTTTATTTTATTTATTTATTTAATTTATATTTTTTATATGTTTCTTACTTTTATCGTTTTTTATTATTTTATTATCTATTATTGTTTTTTTATATTTACAATTTTTTTTATTTATTATAATAGGAAGAAGAATATACTTATGTTACTGGAAAATTAATTTCTGCGAAGCAATTTCACCCTGTGCAATATTGTTGCCCAAAAATGTGCTATCAAATGATAGAAGATTCGAAACAAGAAAAATTTTTCTATTCTTTTTGGAAAAATGCAGGTGATTATAAATCACAAAACATTTTACTAAGTGAATTAATTACAAAAAATCTCGAAGTTCGACTAAACTGAATTCTCAGGGAAAGAATAGAATTTTGTGGGAGTATTCATTCCATTCTTCAGTAAATCGTTTCGTTGTTTGTCAAAAGTTTTTATGTACTTTGCTAAGCATAAAAATAGGAAGGTTCACCACCATACAAAAAAAAGTGTTAAAAATTAATCTTTTGACAATAATACTGGGAGACATGAAAACCACGTTTTACGCTTAACTGAGGATCTAAAGAAGAATATTCTTGAACACTGTTTAACTATTCCTCATTCTCCTTCGCACTACTGTTTAGAAAAATCAAAATTGTTATATTTTGAAAATTCAGAATTGACTTTGACCAAATTATATTCATTATTTGTTGAATATTACATAAAAAAATTTGGAAAACCGCCATCAATAAAAAAGAAAACTTACTGCAATTATTTTAATTACAATCTGAACTTTTATTTTTCCAAGCCCAAAACAGATGTTTGCGATTTGTGTTTTAAATTTAAAAATATCGGCGAAACTAATGAGGATCTAACCCGCCACAAACAAAATGTTGATGATTATAAACTTTTGAAAACGTCTATGATATCTGAACATAATGTATTGTGTCTCGAATTTGATTTTAGGCAAAATTTGGGCGTACCAATATTACCAGTTTCCGATCAATTTTATAAAAGGTTAATTTGGTTGCACATATTTAATGTAAATGTTTTAGGTAAACGTAAGCGCAGTTATATGTACAATTTTTTAGAAGGAAGTTTAAAAAAAGGTGGCAACACTGTCTGTAATTTTCTTTTTGATTCCATCCAACGCGAACTAGACCTTGATTGCTACGACAAAATTTATTTGTTTTCTGACAGTTGCGGTGGACAAAATAAAAATTATTTGATGATGTCATTTTTATCTCTGCTTTCGAAAAAACTTCAGCTAGAAATCCAACACTTGTATCCAGTGCGTGGACATTCTTATTGTTCTTGCGACAGAAATTTTGGAATGTACGGTGCGAAAAAGAAAAAAATGGAAACAATCGAAACGGATCAGGATTATTTTGAAATAATTAGAAGCTCGAGAAATCCTCCATTTATTCTTATTAAAGATTCGGAAATCAGTGTGCATGATTTTGAAGTTCATCTTCCACACAATGTGAATATTCCAAAAGACGAAGTGAAAATTAGCGAAGCCGTGAGAATAATTTATTTTCCAAACGGGCAAATCGAATTATTTAGAAATTATACAGAAAGCGCTTTTCATTATATTTTAACTTCGGAGATTGAATTTGACAATTTGTTAAATACGCGTCCAGCTCTACCAATTGGAATTAGTAAAGAAAAGATACAGGATGTACAGTCTTTACTTCAATACTTAAGTCCTAAAGGCAAAATTTTTTTTAATGATTTAATTGAAAAATCCTGCATTAAATCAATTTAAACTAGTTTGACTGAACCGAAGTCAGTTAAAAAACGTTGTGAAAAAAGTAAACCTATTAAAAATGTTGCAAAGAAAAGTAAAACTATTAAAACAATTGCGAAAAGAAGTAAAACTATTAAAAAAGATGTTAAGAAAATAAAAAAACCATTAAAAATGGTTTAAGGGGGAAACACCAGTTGTAACTTTCGAAAAATCGATTTTTTTTTGCATTTTCTTAAAGTATACATATTTAGAAATGTGTCTGTAAATTTTAAACTTGATCCGGTGAAAAATAAATGAGATATACAGAACACTGCAGCGGCGCGTCCCGTGGCTTCAGACAAGGTGGCCAGCCATACCTGACCCTAACGACAGATGGCCTTTTCCTATGATTTAGAAACGGCAACCACTGCGGAAGAGTTATTATATGGTCCAGGAATCGATGACTCTTTGTAAATTGGAAACAAAATTTCTTCTGAACAAAAAAAAGTAAGTTGAAACTTTGAATGCGTTTTTCTCAAAATGACATTTTCCAAGTCGGTGACCACGATTACTCGAATACCATTAAACCTATTTATTTAAAATTTAGTGTGCTTCATTTACACATATAAGTCTAGTTCGTGATTGAAGGATTTTTTTTATGCAAAACTTTTTTTTATATAGCTGAAAATCGACCGTATTTTTTTAACGAAAATCATACTTTTGACTTTGACAGGTCGCCATTTTGTCAAATTTTTTTTTTTTAAATCCTTCGATCACGAACTAGATAATCTTATAATAAATGTAAATCAATTTTATTTTTGTATTTCAGACGAAGTATACTTGCAGAATGCTGGTCACCGCAATTCGCCTTTTTTCTTAAGGCGCCACTTCAATGGCTCATATCTCTAATAGTTTTTGTTAAAAAAAATTTTTTTTTCTTTCAAATTACAGCTTTTAACATCTACTTTTAACTAATAAATAGTATTCTTTAAAAAGATTCATTGTTCTTTTGGAAAATATTCTTGTAAAAAGCATTATTTCTTGAGTTACAACTGGTGTTCCCCCCTTAAAAATGTATAAAACAAGTTAAAAATTTGTTATTCTAAGATTGGAGTTAAACTTAAAAACTTTTATTTCGTTTAAAAAATAAAATTATTTTATTATTAACGAACTGTAGAATAATAAAAACATTATGATTAAAATTATTGAAAAAATTGACAATATCCGTAAAAATTGTAAGAATGTTTAACACAACTTTATAAAGTATTATTTTTATATTTTATAATTTTATTTAAAATCATCTAACTATTTCTTTGTTAACTGAATATATGTATAATAATTAGTAAAAATATAAAGCATGTTGTAAATTTATAAAGTTAATATTACTAAAAAATGTGCACTATAAAAAAGTTGTAGAAATAAAAAAATTTGTAAAATAAATACTCATGTACAAACGAGAAAAAAGCTTATATAATTATTAACCATATTAATAATAATAATTTTTTGGAAATAAATAAAAATTAATAATAATTTAATAACAATAATAACAATAAACAATAACAGTATGAAAAATTGCATTACTTTTTTATTTTTCAATAAATTGTTTTGGAATTTTCTAGAAAACTTCCTTGAATACTGAGGAACAACTTCCTTGCGATTGCTCAACTCAAAACTTCCCTAGATACTTTTTGTCATTGAATGTAAAAGAGTTATATTGCTGACACGTCATTGCTTACAATAAAAAATAATTAAACAATAAATAATTTTTAAGTTTTCTATGATTTTTTTCGTTTCAGTAGACCCAACTGAGTTTGTATACCAAATTCCAAGTTAATCCATTCACATTTTTCTTCAAAACGACGATTTATGTTATAAAATTTAATTAAATTTGAAAAGAAAAATTTTGTTGTTTTCAATTTTTAATGCAAATAATATTCGTCCTACGAAAAAAAGTATTGAAGAAAAAAGTTGCGTTTTTTTATTTACTACAAGATAGCGTTTTCCAAAAATTCAAATGTTGAGTTTGAATTTTTCTCCTTTTCTGAAGCGGCGAAATACCATAAGGGCGATGTTTCAAGCGCTAATCGAGTTATTTGATTGACCTCCTCAATTGTATTAAATTATGAGAAATATATCAACAGTTTAGGATTGTTCGAATTGTATACAATTTTTAAGCTTGAAAGTTGTAAATTATTTTTTAATTTTATTGTGCTTCATTAAAAAGCAAAGTTTTAAAAATTTGAACGCATAAAATAAAAAATATTAAAATTGTAGATTTTTGGAATTTTTCTTCAAAGTGTAGTATTTTTTGTTCAAATTCATATTTTTCAAATTTGTAAGACTTAAATTTTCAGTTACAATATCACTTAACAAGCTGACAATTGTTAATAACATCGGATTTGCAGATTGCTACTAAAATTAGTCAAATAAATTCCCTGACTTTTCCCTGACATTTTTTTGTTTTTCCCTGAACTCTTTTTCTTGAATTTTCTCACTAAAAAATCAAAAATTTTTATTAGTTAAAAATTTCCCTGGTTAATTAAAAACTCCAAGCTTTTTCCCTGACTAATTATAAAATTCCATGACTTTTTCTCTGTTCACCGACCAGACTTTATTTCCCTGACTTTTCCCTGATTTCCAGGTTTTCCATGACCAGTGGCCACCATGTGTTAATAATTTTGGAATTCATATAACTTGAAACATAAAATTAAATATTAATTTTTAAATTTTAATCAGCGAACGAACAAAATTATGATTTTACTTACATACATATACTTATTGTGTTTTTACATTCATAAGAAACGTATGGAATGGAAAGAAATGCTGTTTTAATAATGCAAGATATTATAAGTTATTCTAAAATACAAATACAATTACTTTGCAATATTTTGTTTATGTAGGAGAATTAACAGCAAAAGATAAGAAAGAAGCAGCCGAAATTCGTTTGATAAATGCGTACGCGGATAGACCTGGGTTATATAATAAAACAATCCAGAAAACTTTATCGCCTGAGGACAAAGAGAGGCTATCGGTGGAAGTTGCCGAATCTACAAATGCAAGTGAGTTTGAAGTTGTAATAATGTGTATACTTGACGTTCTTGCTCTGCTTGATACCATATTTTTGTATGTAATTAAATTTATGCCACGCATGCATATTATCCGTCGAAATGTGTCAGTCAAAATTTTATGAAAAATATTCAGAAGTTTATTAATAATAATCACTTGTTCAAATAGAAATAAAGTTTAAAAATTAAACATATTGAAATATATCAAGTCAAACAATATCAAATGTTTCAAGTTTTTTTAATGTAAATTTGAGATCGACATAACTCATTATGTTTTTTTTCGGATGTAAATTTCAATAACAATTGTAGACTTTATTGTAATACTTTAACGACCCGTAGATTTCAACGGAGAAGATGCATATAAATTTAATATTATAAGTTTAATTACATAAAAAAATACGATTTTCACTAGAATAACATGAAAATAAAATATTGTAAAAAGTGATATGAAAAAAACTGTAAAATGTACTCTTTATATCTTGAATGTTATGAAAAATTTTAAATTTTTTCAGCAAAAATTTTCTCATATAAAGCATGAAGGATTTATTAGTTTGAATTTTTGGGTTATATGCAGAGCCAAATGTTGTAAAATACTTAAAGTGTAAAGTCTTAATATTTATAATTTTCCATTCGTTTTGAACTTTGTTATCCAGCATAAGTTCAATATTTATAATTTACTTTTGTAGAAAACTATTATTAAAAATTTCAAATATTCCCTATATCTTTTTTCTGTAGATCTGTCTGTTGCCGACGTGAAGCGTATGATAAGGAATTTACGAGATCAATTTAAAAAGGCTTATAATAAGAACAATCCAAGCCTTTTCCGACATTTTCATAAAATGCTGTTTTTATCAGATTCCGGCAATGATGGGTATGTTGTAATATTATATTATGCATTTACAATAAATTATTTTACCTTATATAATCAATTAGTAATTGTTTAATGATATTTTTTATTCCATTACTATTTGCAGATAAGGTAAAATCATTTGACATTGTAAGTTATGAATAATTCAAAATAATTTATTTCTTTAATTTTTTTACTTACAACTGTTTAAAACTATGTTTCGAAACATTTGTATCCTTCAGAATTGTATACCTTACAGGACAGTGTATTTCAGAACATTCTTGGGAGGTTCTGGGAATATCTATTTGTTTGTAAAATTTTGAATATCTATGAACATATCATCGGATTAAATTATTAAAAATATGTGATAGAAATTATTCATTTTTCATTTTAATAACATTTGTAGAAGAACAAATCCTTCTGGAAAAGAAAATGTAGATTGTTCGAAGAGAATACAAGATGAGAGACCTTCCACTTCATCGAAGGAAGGATAAAAGTACGTAAAAATGTTTTTTTTAATTCAATCATATAATAGTTAATAAAAATAAGTTTAGCAGTTTAATCATACTTTGATTTCTTTCAGCAATGTCCAAGAAAGATGAATTACAAATGTTGCTTTTGGAAAAAATCCAGTCACACAATGTTCCAAAACCTGATCATACAGACATGTTATTTGCCGGTTTATCTGAATCATTTAAAAAATTAGATACAATACGTCAATTAAGAGTTCTCAGACATTTTGCTGAAATATTAGAAACAGAGTATACAGATCAAGAAAATCAAAGGCAATATGATTCAGATTAAAATGATTAGAGACACGTTTCATTATTTATAGAAAAGTTTTTTAATTTTTGTTTTTAAAAAGTATGAATATTGTCTTTAAATTACGTTATATTGTTTTAATAGAATTTCTGCTAATTAAAAGTTGCTAGATAGATAAGACTACAAGTGGCACATTTATTATAAAAATTAATATTAGATGTCTATTATTGTTTTGTAGTCTGTGATTCGTTATGTTTTTCAAACATTGCATAAGGATTAGTAAAATATTTTTGTGAGCTACTTTGAGCAGTAATATTTTCATAAATATTAAATGCTGTAAAATTTATTCATAATTTTTTTCTAATATCTGTAAGGATTTAAAATGTAGTGTAGTTAAATTATTAACAATAATATTGAAACATTTGTGAAAAAACCAAAAACTTGATTTAAGTTTTCAAGCTGAATGTGATTCAAATAGAAAAATAAAGTTTTATTTATGATAAATACATCTGTGTTTGTCTTCTCTTATCTTCTCTTCTGTTCTGTGTTACTATGAAACAACTAAATTTCAAAAGTTATTTTGCAATACTTTCTCATACTGCCATGGCAATTCTCCTTCAGGCGATACAAAGTAATTGGAAAAATCATCTCGCACTACGTCGGCATTAAGATTATTTGCAGCCAATGAATTTTGTCTTGGCATGTTTCTTAGTCCTGCAATAAACATTTCTGTAATTAAAAATTTATATGCAAAAATATGTATTAATTTTATTGTAATTAATTTGCAATGTAATAATAAACATCATTTCAATTTTTTAAAATTATTTATAAATACAATTGTAAAGGATTATAGAATTTTCTTAATGAAAAGGGTTACGTTTTAGTATACTTCAACAGCCATGCGATGAATTACATCTATTTAATTTCTTTTTTTAATTTATAAAAAGAATGTTAGAAGTAAATTCAGTAAATTTCATTTAAAAATTATTATTTCATTATGAAATGTACCTGATAGTTTCTAAAAATAGTTAAATGTGTATATTAACAATCATTGTGTGGCATACGTAAAGATTCGTTAATAATCTAGTTGTGGAGACAAGTTGTAGCTTGAATAATATTTCTGATAAGGTCAGTGGAACCTACAATTACCCTTCTATAAATTCTCCATCTAGCCGCCAGTATTCCGAAGGCACTTTTAACCATTCGTCTTGCTCGACTTAACCGATAATTAAATACTTTCCTTTGTATATTTAAATTTTTACTTCTAGGATAAGGTCGCATTAAATATGTTGTCAATGGAAATGCTTCATCTCCACGCTACATAAGGTAGAGCAGCAGTATTTGCGCTTATCCCTTCCGTCTTAGGTACATCGAATGTGTTTGTTTCAAATTTTTTGTACATTGCACTTTCAGAAAAAACTCCATCACTCCTTCTTCCGGGAGCACCAATGTCTATCGTTATAAATCGGTAGTGTGCATCACTGATTGACATTAAATTCATACTAAATCTATCCTTGTAGCTGGAATATTCGGAACCCGAATTTGCTGGTGCCTAAAGGAAATAAATATAATTATTATAAATAATAAAGTACAATGCGTACATATTTCAAACACGTACATGAGGCTCATAGTGCAATTTCTAAAGATTAATTCAGTAACATTCACTGAAAATGTCACAATTGAAACCTGTGACCAGTAAAATGTAAAATGAATTGCTTACATAATTGAAAAATTGGTGCACAGAACGCTTTCTAAAATATTTTTTTAACAATTTTAAACTGTAAATTAGTTTCCTCGATAAATTTTTTAAATTTTGTGTAAATTTTGTTTTAACATTTCATTACATATAACGGAATTGATTGTGCTTCACTTTAGTAGTATATGACAATTACGTACACGATTTAGAGTACAATCTCTCAGCAATAAATAACAGTATAAGAGAATATTTGTAAGTTGTATGTTTGAGTTTTGTTCTATCAAGTAAATCATGTAAGCCACAAAATATACTTTTCGAATAATTGCAAACAATATTTCTGTGATCATAAAAAGTCTTTTAAAATACTTATACATAGTGTATATATGTAGTACGAAGAAAAGTTTCGAATGTCCAAGAAGTACAAAATTTTTTTTCAAACTTATAAATATAAAAAAATTTTTAAAATATCAAAAATATTGAAAATTAAGGAATCCCACACAATTTTTTGCAAATATAATTGTAGAAAATAAAATTATAGTATGACCAAATTTAATAAGAAAAAATTTGAACAGAAATTTAAAAAAAATTGGTTTTTTAAAAATTATCTTGAAATGATGAGAGAGTTACTTGTAAAGCATTCAATATACTAATCGTATTTAAAATGCAGTGAGGAAAATTCCATTTTTCATCAAAACTTCTAGCATGAGACAACCATCCTTCTCTCGTCAAACGAGGAAAAGCTGTACGTTTCAATGATATCCAAATTGCTTTGCATGTCTCTCTTACAATTTTAGAAACTGTATTGTGACCAACACGAAATTGGTAAGCAATCGATTCCATGGAATCTCCAGAGGCAAGATATCTTAGACAAATATGTAACCTTGTACGAGCAGAAATTGGTTTACGAATAACCCATTTTTATGTACATAAGGTTGAACTTTTTTAATCAATTTCTTAAACATTTTTCTGGTCGCTCAACGGAGAAAATTGGTCTAACACAAAACCTTCTTTTTTTGGCTAATGACTCCATACTATCTACCCCCACAGCACCGAAAATTTCCTGAAAATTTCCTAAAGATTTATTTGCAAACTTCGGAAACTTTAATTGCAAAGTTTAGAGAAAATTGTATAAAGATTTAAATGTCCAAAATGAGTAAATGTTTGGCGTAAAACTTGACGGAAGATTTAAATTAAATTTTCCAGAAATTTTCGACGCGAAAATTGAGTGAAGATTTAAATTAAAGTTTCGTGAAATGTTTGGCGTAAAAGTTCACAGAGGGTCATTTTTTTCCCACTGTGATCCGGACCGATATTATATCTGCAGAAAAGTAATTAAAAAAGAAGGAAAGAAGAAATATTTTGTAGAAAATTTTAAACCTAAAAAATATATTTATTTATACAATTAACATATAATGAAAAATTTATATCAGATCGCTAATGCAGAATTTTTTTGAAATGATTCAACTTTAATGTTCGGTGGCATAATTTCTTCAGAAAATGATTCTCTACAATTAAACTGTGCGGGGATTTCTAAGCAAGCAAGCATTTTGGAAAATATGGCTATTTGTTTAAAAAATTGTTTTATATCTTTTTAAATAAGCGGCTTGCTTGATTAAAATCGAATGCATGGTTCAGTTTTACAGATTAATTTTCTAAAGAAAAATAAACGTACTAAATTGAAATTAAATCATTTTTAAAAAATTCTTTTTTTGTAATAGCGATATGATAAAAGTTTTAATCATATAAATAAATAATAATCACATAAATAATTTTTTTAAAATATAAATTTGTTTCTTGAAAATATTCCTTCTTTCAGAAAGTACAATTGAGTAGCTGCCTGCAATAACTCGCCGAGCGCTTGGCCGGTCGCTCTAACGCCAGTCAAATGTTCAAAAACGTGAAAAAAATTAAAAATCAAAATTTTGATTTTTGAAACGTGCAATCTTGTAGGACATAAGATGGCGCATCTTTTTTTCCTTTGAGTTTTTTTTGTAGATCAAAAAATAGAGTTAATATATGCAAAACACTTAAAAATTTTATTTCACAAATTTCATTCAATTTTTAAACATAAATCATAGTATCTTTGACAAATTTCAATGAATCTTATTGAAAATTAATATACATACGTATTTAGGTGCATAGAAGACGACAACATAATCAAAAATATTAAAATCATCAATTGTTTATTTATAATTAATTGTAAATGAAGACTTGTCAATAATAATGTTTACTTACCTTTGTCGACATAAAGTGTGTGGGGAACTTCAGAGTTGAAGAAACTTCCAGTGAGACATTTGTTTATCATAATGTAAGGAAGTTTTTTGTAAAATTGAAAAACAATTTATCAACAACTTTAGAAAATATAGAACGTTTAAGAAAACATGCGCGACGCGCTAGCGAGTCTCCGCGCGGAGAATTGCAAACAAGAGTTGTAGAGGACCGAAAATACAGAAACAAATATTGTCACTACATTCTTAGAAATGTTTTTCAAATAAAATATGAGTTAATTTTATGAAAATGCAAATTAAATTTGAACAACTGTTTTTTTAATATTTACTAAATAATCAATAGTTTTAAAATATTTTGGTGCTTGTATGTACTGTTTGTGCAGTTTGCAAATAAGTTTTTTAATAATTAATATTAAGGTATATCTTTATTTTCTGTTTCTTCATTTTTTTAAGAAATTAGTATTAGTATTAATTACATATCAACAGTGATAGTATGTTGGCTCCATTTTCAAAACATAATATATCACAACATAACATAACGTCCTTCTTAACTCTTGTGTGCAATTCTCCGCGCGGAGACTCGCTAGCGCGTCGCGCATGTTTTCTTAATCGTTCTATATTTTCTAAAGTTGTTGATAAATTATTTTTCAATTTTACAAAAAACTTCCTTACATTATGATAAACAAATGTCTCACTGGAAGTTTCTTCAACTCTGAAGTTCCCCACACACTTTATGTCGACAAAGGTAAGTAAACATTATTATTGACAAGTCTTCATTTACAATTAATTATAAATAAACAATTGATGATTTTAATATTTTTGATTATGTTGTCGTCTTCTATGCACCTAAATACGTATGTATATTAATTTTCAATAAGATTCATTGAAATTTGTCAAAGATACTATGATTTATGTTTAAAAATTGAATGAAATTTGTGAAATAAAATTTTTAAGTGTTTTGCATATATTAACTCTATTTTTTGATCTACAAAAAAAACTCAAAGGAAAAAAAGATGCGCCATCTTATGTCCTACAAGATTGCACTTTTTAAAAATCAAAATTTTGATTTTTAATTTTTTTCACGTTTTTGAACATTTGACTGGCGTTAGAGCGATCAGCCAAGCGCTCGGCGAGTTATTGCAGGCAGCTACTCAATTATGTAATTATGAAATGATTTCAAAGTTGACATAACCTATGTTTTTCAAAATAAATTTTATTTAAATATAAATTATCCGATTATGATTAATAAGTGAAAACAAAATATTATAATAGTAATTAAGTGACATTCAATAAATTATTTAATTTTACTTCGCTTAAAATGTGAAATATTGCAAATGATTGACATAACCTATAAGTTTTCGAACTAAATTTACTTATTAAAATTACCTGTTAAAATTGCGACAGTATCTGGATCGACTATTTTTATCAATTCTTGGGCTAATTCCTCTTTGCTTAAGTCCTTAAATTCCTTCATTTTGAAAAATATTGTTAATTATTACAACGTGTCATTCGCGGTGTTGATAATCAGCAAAAAACACCAATATTTTCCAGTCCAATATTATTCAATTGGATAATCACTTGGAATAACTAAAAATTGACTACAATAGAATAAAATATATCGAATATTGAAAATAAACTATAAACTTCTTGCGAGTAAAAAATAAATAATCTTGAATATTTTAACGCGGATGAAAAAACTAAAAACAATTTTGCTGTGTCAATTTGTTGATCAAGATGGCGATTACTGAGTCACGATTGAGAGAAGCGGTGGCGTATTGAAACTAATACTTGTTTACATGTTTGCTCCTATGATAAAGTCAGATTCTTCCTCATAGAAAAAGTTAATTTTATACCTACTTTTATTCTTGTATAAAGATTTTTTCACAATAAATGACTAATAATTAATTCTTAATTTTAAACTTACCTCATTATAAATTTGATGATTTCATTATTTCATGGATATTTTTACACCACCTAGCTACTATATGTATATGAACACCCGTTTTAAACACAATTGTTTCCTTGTAAAAATTGAAAACGATTAAAACAACTATTTCTTGTAACGTGTAATACAAATAATGCCAATAAATTATTTAATTAAATTACCTAATACACAAAGTACTTTATTATATGAAAGCGAAAACCCATGGAAGATGACATACGTCATGAAAATAATAGAGGTTACGTTCAACTGTCTAATTCAATTAGTAACTTGGGTGTAATAACTAATAGAATTAGTTAATTTGTTTACTATTTTAAATTAGTAATGTTCAAATACTAATTTTTTACTATTTTATTAGTAAAATTTCCAAAAATAACTAATTCATTAGTTGGAATTTAATTTACTAAATGAATTAGTTAATTTTTTACTAATTCAGATTTAGATAGTACGTAAAGAATTTTTTTTCTGCTTCATGCGAAATTGATGTTCTTTACCGTTAAAATACAATATACAATTCTTGAAATAATTGCATTGGTATATATGAGTTATTTTTATAGAAAAAAAACAAATGATAAGGGAGAAAGGTTGCAAAACAAATGCATGAAACTCCATAATGGAACTAAAAAATTGTAAAAAGTATTTTACCGGTAAAGAATACCACTTGGTTATACCCTACCGAAAGAGTGGTACTGGAATGGTACTGAATTGGACTTGGCTTGAGTTCCACTTCAGTACCACTACCTGATGGGCAGTGTCCAAGTTAGCCCCGTGAGGGGAAGCACTATACCCCCACTCTACCGGCCGGGCCATAAACACGGAGCTCGAGGGACACATTCACCGCGGGGGGCCTAAGCAGCGTTCTCGGGCCTAATGACATTTTCTATTTATGGCCCCTAATGAGTTTTTCATGAAAATTATAAAATTTTTTAATATTAACAATTTTAAATTTTTTTTAACATATTCACATTCCTCATAATTTTACGATTACGAGCATATGTTGTCCCAATTAAAAATGTTAATATTTAAAATGTTTATAATTTTTATTGAATTATGTCGCCTGAATCCCCCAGTATCGATCTAGTCATGATACCGAATAACTTTTTTAATAAAAATTAAATCTTTTTAAATATCAACATTTTTTCCCCTCATTTTTATGCGATTCAGACATAATTTTTTTTTTAAATGTTGAAATTTAAAAAGTCCTAAGCCTGGAAAAGTTGTGATTAAAAAAAATTAAAACTTTTTAAATTTCAACAATTTTTAAAAAAAAAAATTATGTCTGAATCGCATAAAAATGAGGGGAAAAAATGTTGATATTTGAAAAGATTTAATTTTTATTAAAAAAT